TCCCTCTCCCAAGGGGATTGGCTGCACTTTTGACTTGGCCGGTTCTAGACCTGATGGATGTGGCTAAAGTCCAGAGAAAAAGACTGAGGTGGCAGAGCGAACCACCCTTCTGCCCCGAACACCGTCCGCCCCCCTACCCCCCCTTCCTCTGTCCCTCCTTGGAAGCTTGCTGCCCGGAGCCAAGTCCAGAACCCAGCCGGCCATCCCCATGGTGCCAATTACCAGCAAGTGTCTTTCCTGCGGCACCGGGTTCAGGCAGCAACTCCTGCTCCAAAGCCGACGGGGCAGCTTTGCAAGGATCCGGAGCCAGCTCCTGGGGGCCCAGGGCCCCGACTTGAAGAGCAGCTGGGGCCTCCCTCCACCTGCCTGTGGAAGGAGCTTTGCCGCAGCCTGTCTGCGTCCATCTGTCCGTGCCCTCCTGCCCGCCCCTCTTCCAGTGGCTCTAGGACCGGAGTCCCGCAGACATGGAAAGAAAGGAGGAAGCGTCCGGGCCTGGGGGGAGCGCATACCCCCAGGTGCCCTGCTGCATGGGGCTGCGACAGCCAGTTTGGGGACACTGGTGGACCAGAAGGAACTTTGTCATCTCTGCTTTGGCAGAGGAACTACGGGTCACTGATTCTCCAGCACCTGAACCCTGAGAGCATCACATCTCTACAATTTTGGGGGTGCTGGGTTGGAGCGGACTGAGGGAAGCTGAGGTTGGAAGTGGGGGTGCCAAAGTCGGGGCTTCCTAAATAGGAGAATCATTCTTTGTTGGGTGAGATCAAAGGTCATCTTATGACCCTTCTGTCTCCAGGCCGAGGAACCTGGGGAGGGAGCAGATTTCCTCTATTTTAGTCTTTTTTCAACACACCATCCTGTACTAAGGGCAGGACCCACTGTTCTGGCTTCAGCGCGACCTGACGTAAGGGAAGACGGAAGTAGGAGAGAGAGATGCCGAGGAGGTCTGAGTGCAGGAATGCGGATGGTTCTCACGTGGGTAGCTAAGTAGCTGCCTTCCAGTCCAGCCCTCCGCGGGGCCTGCGGGAGCCCTGTTGCATGCTGGGAGGATGCAGGCTGACCCTCTTTATAGAAGCACATTCCTGCCACCTCCCCGGGGAGGTGCCCAGCAGTCCACCACCCCTCCTTCCCAGTCCCTGCTGTGTAGGGCGTAGTCCAGGTTAGCTGGGTAGTTAGCGTTCCCTGCCCTGGGGCCTGCCTTTAGCTCATCTATCGTCCCCACACAGTCCCAGGACGGGGTGGAGAGGTGACACACACATTCCAGAAGGCTGCATTCTCCCTGCTCCTGGGAGCCCAGGTTGGATGCGCTCCATCCCCCCCTTCCCACCCCGCCCCATGTAGGGTCGTAGCTGGAGCTGTCCCATTATACTCAAATGTTCTGATTTATTATCCTTGGTACTGGCTTTATTTATGACACGCTCCTGGGGACAGCTGGGCCCTGGTTGGGGAGCCTGGGCTCCATTGGAGGGGTGGTGTTTCTGCTGAGGGTACATGGTTGTGTTTGAGCCCACCTGGTTCCTGTTCCCACCTGGCGCTGTTGACCGGGCTGTTTCCTCCACCTGGAGTCTTGATGCCCTTGACCCTGATGCTCTTTCCAATTACGATTTTGATTGCCTCCCGGAGCTTCTCACACTGCACTGCAAGGGGAGATGGAGAGACCCTAGTCCAGGGGTCTTTGGCATTTTCTGAGGTGGCAAGTTGGAACCCAAAGCCAAGTCCTGAATCTGTCTGTGAAGGGTAAAACGAGGAGCATAGACATCTGTGCCCTCCCAGAATGAGGCCTGGAGGCGACCAGTCAGGGGCAGGCAGCTGGGGGAGTCCTGTGGAGACACCAGGAGGGAGCAGGGCTCTGGGGATTCACAACCAAGGCCCAGACCCGCTTTCTCCCCATTTTTTTAATTAGTGTGATTTCTCTGTTATTCGTTGATTACTCACCATTTAGAATCTTTTGAGCCAGGAGAGCTCCTTCTCTCTGCAGCCATCACTACTACGGTGGTTCAGCATTTCGAGGACGAGAGTGCCTGTCCCAACCAGAGGGATAGGGCTTCCTTACGCCCTGGCCTCCGCAGCCCGGGAGCTGCCTCTGGTGTCTGTACCACCTTTACCCAGAGAGATCGAGCGCTCCAAAGCAATAACAACGCCCTGGCGGCCACCAGGCACCCTCAATGGTTTCCTTGTTTGTTCTGTGACATCTCTGTTCACCTCCCTGAAGGGTGGACTGGCCTGGGGTCTGGAGCCCTGTTTCTTTGTATCACCTCTGTGAGCACATGCTCCCTGGGGGGGGCTCTGCCATTTGGCTTGGGAACCACGGTCTGCCCTCACCAAGGGAGGGGGGTCCAGCGTGGAGAAGCAGGTCTTTTCGTTATTAGCTTTGGGGAATCTTCAAACCCTTCAGCACCCTACACAGCACTATGGGGGAGGAGCAGAGGGTGGAGTCTGAGGGCCTATGGGGTTAGGGACCTCTGGGGGTGATGCTTTTTTCATTATCTGGGCTCGCAGTCCCAGACACTGTAGGAGGAAGCCATCTCCATTTTCTTGTTTCCAGAACTCCCATCCTAAAGGGGAAGGGTCTTAAGGACTATCCAGTGAAGCTCCTTTTGCCTTTGCCAGCAGGAAGCTGAGGCCGAGTGCAAGGGTGTCCTCAGGCCACCTCAGTTCAGTGACCTCCTTAGCTGGGTTCCCAGCAGCTGGAATGAAGTGGGCCCACTGCTCCTCCTTTCGCCCCTTAGTAGCCAAAGATGGACAGACAAGCTGTTGCCCATTTGAGGACATTAGGCCAAGAGGCAGGATCTTTCAGCAGGTGGGTCCTCGGAGCAGAACTAGAGCCTGTTTCCAGTTCTCCGTTAAGAGGAGACCACTTCTTCACGAAATGTCACCCATGATAGATCCTGGCGACACAGCCCAGCTCAGTTCCACCCGGGAGGGTCAGCCTCTCCGGGCCTGGGGTTCAGGGAGAGGGTTCACCTGGGGGTCTGGCCTCCCTGACAGGAGGCACAAGCTCTGATCCAGGCCTTGGAGATGGGCCATCACCCTTCAAGGATGAGCTGAAGTTTAAGTTCCTACCTGAGCTGTGAGGTGCAGGGCAATGGGGGGACCACTCATCTGAAGAAAACCCCTGTGGTGACACCTGACCTTCCTGTAGTGCTTCCTGAAATGTTTTGTTTTCCAAGTGCTTGTCCCTCACGTGCACCTCTGACCCTCACAGGAGCCCTGGGCAGCAGGGGGAGGCTGGTGGTCCTGCCTCCATTTTATAGAAGAAGCCGCCTTGGAAGGAAGGTTTGTCCCTAAGCCCTCACTGGTAGTGACCAAGTTGTGCCCAGGGAGGTTAACAGACGGGACAGGTAGTCTGTCGTCAGGTACCATGGAGTCTATTTTATTTCATAGTGACTCTGTGCGATAGAGAACCCTCTGCCCAGTAAGCAGATCAGCAAACCTTTTCTCTGACGGAGCTGCCAACCTTCGGCTAGCAGCAAAGTGCTTAACCATTGCACCACCAGGGCTCCACGAGTGGATGGTTTAGGGGGTGGTTATGCACTTTACACGCTGACTCGGCTCCTGCCACCAGGGAGCCCGTGGGCGCATTCCACGGTTGGGGACACCCACTCTCACGGGAGGCACAGCTGCTGTCAGGCAAGGTCACCTGCATTTATTTATTGAGCAGACACGCTGTGCCAGGCCCAGGGGACCAAGCCCAGACTCCCCGCTTGTAGGGACTCCTCTGAGGGGGCTGGATCTGCAGAGCAACACCTCGGAGAGGATTGTCATCTTCTGTGAGCTCACCCAACTCCCCGCCCATGAGGTGGGCCGACTGCCTGTTTTAACTTACAGCTTCTGTGAGGGCGAAGTGGGGACTTAAACCCAGGGCCTTAGGTGTCAGTTCTGGAATCCCTTGACTACCACTGCCTCCCTGAGGGTAGCGGGAGGGCAGGGGTCTCTCCAACCTTCCACCTTTCCCTGGTTCCCTTTTTGGGGAGCAGGCCCACCCAGGTCTCTGGGGAGGGTGGCTTCTGGGGCCCCTGGGTTGGAATGAGTCACGTTGCATTATGTTCATGATCATGTAGCTCATGTTGAAAATTAAAAGTTTTTGGCTTTTCTACCCAGGCTTGCTCTGGCTTTGTGTTGACACACGTCCTCCGGGGGAGCCAAGGGCCAAGGACAGTTGGGGTTTAAATGCTATAGAGTGTCAGGGGCTTTATTGAGGCTCCTCATGGGTGGGGTCTGTCCCGGGGAGCTCTGCTAAGAGGTGCCCTGTGGGGGGCCAGTCATCTCACAGATGTGGAGACAGAGGCCCAGAGCTGGGAGTGCAATTCTCCAAGGACACATCACCGGTGATACAAGCTAGGAATAGAACTCCAATCGTGGCTGCCAATAAAAGGCTTGTCTCAGCTTCAGGCTTTGTCCCGCTGGCCCCAGGCCCCTGACAGTGGGTGTCAGCAAGACCCCCATCCCCAGTTGGAGAGCGGCGGGGTTGTAGGCTGGACATTCCCATCCCACACAACGGGCCAGGAGAAGCCACACCTTTTCAATAGCATCGCCATTTCGATTGCTACCTGGACTGGAGCCTGTCCACTCCAGCCTCCGTTCCCTGCACTCCTCAGAGCGTGAGCATCTGGCCTCATTGATAGGATTCCAGTTTCAAGTCGACATTCCCCCAACGACGTGGAAAGCCAGCCTCTTCCCACAGCAGAAGCAGCCATCTGTTTCCGCTGGGGCGGGCCGCTCTAGGGCAGTGCGGACCTGCGCAGACCTCTCCTAGTGCGGCTGCGCCCCCTCTTCCATCAATTTGGACCCCCCCCCCAGGGACTTGCACCTACAGAATGACATTAGAGGCCAGCTTGTGCTCATGATGCAACTTTAATATATTTTTGAAGAAGAGGGAGGAGGCCAGCCTCAGAAGGGAATGCGAAACTGCTGGTGGCAGGAGAGACCATGGAGACATCTGGGAGTCCCTCACCCCTCTCCAAGTTCAGGGAGGGTGCACTGATAAGGGATCCCAGATCCTGCCGTTCCAAGTTGGACCCCTGACCGAGGTGGCCCTGTCATATGGACTTCCTCCTGGTCAGGGGCCTGCCAAGCCTGCCGCCCACGGCTCTGGGACTCGTGGGGGGCGAGAAACCCAGATTGTCGCGGGCCCACATCTCCAGCTGGTGGATGCGATGGGAGATGGAGGTGGGGCCCGCGCGCCGGGCTGGGTGGCCGGCCAGCGAGGGGGCGCGGCTCTCGGGCGCCCCCAGGCGGAGCGGGCTGGCGCGGTGGGCAGTGCGCTCGGGCGCATCCGTGCTGGCCGCGAGGAAGCGCAGGACCACCAGGTTGAGGAATGCGCCGATGACCGTGAGTCCCAGAAGGATGTAGAGGAAGCTGAAGGCCACATAGGGCGGCTTCCTTTGCAGCGCCTCGTCGCTCTGCAGCGCCACGAAGTCGCCGAAGCCGATGGTGGTGAGGGTGATGAAGCAGTAATAGTAGGCGTGGAAGAAGGTCCAGCCCTCGAAGTGCGCGAAGGTCGCCGCGCCGAGGGCCAGCGTGGCCGCGCACACGAGCAGCCCGGCCACCACCATGTTCTCGGTGGACACGCGCGGCCGCCGCAGGCCCAGGCAGCGCTTGGCAGCCAGCAGGAGGCGGCGCACCAGCGCGTTCAGCCGCTCGCCCAGGCTCTGGAAGGTGACCAGCGTCAGCGGGATGCCCAGGAGCGCATAGAACATGCAGAAGACCTTGCCCGAGTCGGTGCCCGGGGCAGCGTGGCCATACCCTGTGCAGAAAGAGGGGAGGGGAGGGGGAGGGAAGAGTGAGAGTCCAGCTCTGCCCAACAACAGTCTCCAGCCCAGACCCCCTCTCCATGCCCCAGGGCCCTAGAAACCTACTTCTAATAATGTCACTCCCGGGCGCATGGTTATTTGGAATCACCCAGAACGGGAAACAACTGCGATGAGCGACCTGTGGCACACACATGCACATGCACATGCACGAACAAAAAGGAAGGGGTAAGCCTAGCAAGGAAGGATGGGGCCCAAGGGCATTCGGCAAATACATAACATGCAGCAAAGCCCCATTTAGATGGTAGTCTGGAAGCGGCAACATTCACAGGCGCAGGGAACAGATCTGTGGTTGCCATGGTTGGACCGGACGCTACCAAGGGGCCTGGCAGAATTTGGGCTCTGCGCCTTGACTGCGGATTGGCTACGTGGAAGGAACAATTCTGTGAAAAAAGAATCCTGAAAAATAGGTGGATTTAAACTTTTCTTTAAATTATGTCGAGTCATTGGGCCATGCAAAATAGTTAAATGTGCTTGCTGCTCATGGAAAGGCTGGCAGGTTCGAATCCAGCCAGAGGCACCTGGGGAGAGGGAAGGGCTGGAGATTTATTTCTATAAAAATTTAGTCACTAGGATCCTAGAGAGCACAGTTCTAGTCTGACACACCGGGAATCGCCATGACTTCGAGTTGAATGGACACTTCCCTAAACCCCACAATTGCCTCTCTTCTTTCCATTCACCGGGGTTGCAAGCGTGGGGGGGGGGGGGCAGGCACCTGGCTCTGCAGCGCTGATAGATTCAGCCCGCAAGGGCCCGCAGGGCATGGGCTGGCGCCCCCACGTGGCCAACAGACGCACATTCCTCTTGGTTCCACTCTTGGTGCCTTTTCCAAATGCAAGGGGTTCCCCACCCCGAGATGCAATACAGAAGGGAAGGGCCAGGAAAGCAGGCCAAGCTGGGCTGTGAAACCTCCAAAGGACGGAGGGGAAGGCAGAGGGGACAGATGGGACCTCACGCCACTAGGCACAGGGACAAGGGTGAGTTTGAGGTTTGAGAAAGCATAAGGGGGGGGAGGGTCCTGCTAAGCTGAGATAAAGGAGAGGCGCTTGGAGAAGGGGCCACAAAGAGTGCATGAGAGATGGGCACACAATTGGAAAATTAGCTGGTTATTGTTATAACTATATAGTAATTATAATAATGCCTATTCAGCTTCAGGCACTTTGCCAAAAGCTTTACACGCATGGCCTCATTTAAGCCTGGCAACCACCGGTGAGGTAGGAACAACTGTACATTGAAGTTCAGCAAAACAGAGCTCTGAGAGGTACACTTAGTAGACTAAGGAGGCAGAAGAAAACAGACTTAAATCTCTGTAACTGTACAACTCGCGCTTTTCACTCCACCGCTAAACCCACTGCTCACACTCATGCAAGAAACTATCTCTAAGGCCAGCGCTCTGAAGGGGGCTGTCCGTGCCCAGTGCGGCACCTGAGCGTCAGCACCTGGAACTCCAGGCACGACTGGCGCCCAGCGGAGCCCGCTTCTCCCCCTTCCAGCTTCCTGGGTACCAGGTACCAGCCAGACGGTAGCCATGGCAACGGCTGGCGGTCCAGATGCTGCAGTGGAACTGCTCTGGATCCCGGAGGGCGAGGTCCAGAGCTGGTGGTAATCAGTCATTCTGCCAACAAATATTTATTGAACGTCAACTCTCTGCTGAGCACTGGTCACACCGCAGTGACGAAGACAGGCTGCTCCATGGAATAACAATAATTACCATGACTGTTGTCACACACAAAAAATCAATCTTATTTATAAAAAGTGCTTTCTGTGTGTCAGGGCTGTTCTAAACTTTCTCTCTATAATGGTCCTCACCACCACCAACCTGGCGTCGTGTCTGCTGGCAACCCTGTTTTGCAGAGAAAACTGAGGCTCAGCGAAGTTAAGCAATTTGTCTAAGATCACACAGAGAGTGCAAAGCAAGGAAGGCACTTGTCCTGTCTCCCAGCCCCTGCGGGAGTTTTCTGAACCACTACGGAGCGAGTTGCCTCGCGGCTTGCAGGGGCGATGAGAGCCCCAGTGGGCAGAGGGGAGGCAAGTGAGCTGAAATGACTGGCCCAAGGTCACTCAGCCGGGGAGGGGCAGAGCCGGAGTTGACACCCGCAGACGCGAGAGCCGGCTCAGGCCGGCGGGAGCGCGGCGGGGCGGCGCGCGGGGCCCGCTCACCGATGGTGGTGATGACGGTGATGGCGAAGTAGAAGGAGCCGGCGAACTTCCACTGGCGCCCGGCGCGGTGCGGCTCGGCCTGCAGCGCCAGGCGCTCCAGCTCGCGGAAGTCCTCGGCCGAGAAGCCGTACTTCCTGCGGAACTCGCTCCGCTTCTGGGCCAGCAGGCGCTTGCGGCCGCTCTCCGCCTCGGACTCGAGCGCGTCGAAGACGGCGGCGCCCACCAGCAGGTAAGACAGGATGCACAGGACCAGTGCCGCCGTGCGCACGCTCTGCTTCCTCATGGCGCCGCCCCGCGCCCC